TCTTAAAATATATTTTTACAAAAATATTTTTAAAATTACTTATTAAAAATATTTTTAAATAATTTTTTTTTCAAAGTATTTTGTGTAGATACCTAATCCAACACATTTAATGTAAAATTCTGCAAAATTTTATTAAGCTAACATATCTTGCGCTATTAGAGAATCTTGTTTATAATATTCTAAAGAATATATTTACAAACTTTTGTGAGTTTTGAATACTTCATTATTAAAATATAGATGAAAACATTATATGCTACTACTTTCATTAGAAACTGTATAATTCAAATAGATTTTAAATATAAAAAATTTATTATTATTTAAGTATATTTATTTTATACTCAAGAATAAAGATATTTATATATATTTAAAATTATATAAACTTTATTTAAGCTTTACTTATAATTTATTTATAGATATAATATATAACTACAAGTATAAAACAAGAATTAAATAATAAACTATAAATTAATAAATAAAAATCAAAGATAAGATATATATAATAATTAAAAGATAATATAAATAATAAAACAAGATAAATATTTTATAAAGAAAAAATAATTAATATTAAATAAAAAAATAAATAAAATTTTGTTTCTGAACTATTTCTAAAATATAACTAAATTATTAATAAAATATTTATAAATTATAGCTAATATTAAGCAAATTATATATTTACAGTTCTAAATTATTTCTGAAGTATTATTAAATTATAATTGAAGTATAACTAAAATTAATTAATATACTAATTAAATCATTTTAAATTATATATTTTCTAAAAATTAATTAATTAACTAAAAATTCAAAGTTTGAAAAATTATGAAATTTATATTACTAAGATAATATCTTTAATAATAAAAAGATTATAACTAAAATTATTATTCTTTTTAGAAAAGATCACTTGATAAAATTATAAAATATAAAAAATTAAATAATAATATATTATTAATTAAAAGTGATAATAAAAAGATTATAACTAAAATTATTATTGATTTTAGAAAAGATCACTTGATAAAATTATAAAATATAAAGAATTAAATAATAATATATTATTAATTAAAAGTGATAATAATTATTTTAAAGTTAAAAAAATTGATAATTAATAAAATTTTTATAAAAATTAGATATCTTAATATAAATATTTAATTAATATTATTTATTATATAAATTTTAAGAAACATTTTTATGTAATTTTTATTAAGTTAATTAAAAAATTTTTTATTTTAAGTATATTAATATATTTATATGTAATTTTTATTAAGTTAATTAAAAAATTTTTTATTTTAAGTATATTAATATATTTATATTTTTATGCCAAATTATATAATTTTTAAAAAGTAAATTGATTAAATTATAAAATTAAATATAATAAATTCATAAAAATACTAATATTTTAATATTAATTTTTATTATAAAAATAATAATTTCTTGAAAACTTATTTAATTAAAAATTTATAAATTATTACCTTTATATTTAATAATAAAGTTTATTTAATAACTTAAAATATAATTATTAGATTAAAGTTCTTGAAATTATTTTATAAAATTTTTAATAAAATAAAAAATTAATTCTATAATAAAAAATAATAATTTTATAAAAATTTACTTAAAACTTTTGAAACTTAATAAATAGCTACTTAATATTAATAAATAATTTTATTTAATTACTTGAAATATGATTATTAAATAAAAGTAATTATAATTATTAAGAATTAATTCAAAATATTATCTAAAATTTACATAATTAAATTATTAATATATTTTTATTCAAAATTATTTAAGTATTAATTCTGATAATTATATAAAAAATTAATTATATAAATTAAAAAAATTAAAATATTTATAAAATGATATAATTATATTTACTTATTTATATTTTAGATTAAGATTATTACAAAAACTTTATATAATAGATTATTATATATATTTATTCTATTTTTATTACATAAAGAACTTTTTAATTTTACTAATAAATATTTTTTTATTTTTAGCTCAAGTTAAAGTTCTTTATTTAATATATATTTTCAAATTCTTTTTAAGAAAGTTGTTTTAGTTACATATAAATTAAGTTAAATTATTTTACTTAATTATTATTGACTCTCTTAGAAAAAAATTTAGTGCTAAAAATAAAAAATTTTTCTTAATAAAATTAAAAAGTTTTATGTAATGAAAAATATATATTTTGATAATGCAATTAGCAAAATATTTAAGCATTGCATTATTTAATTACTACTTGTGATGAATATCACAATTCCTGATTAGCTATCATAATTATATGACATCTATTTGTTACTGATCTATTACTAAGTTGCAACTAATTGCAATTCAAAATTTACTAATGGCAACTATGTAATGCTTATTTGTTACCTCATTAAGGGCACCATTATTAATCATCACTATATACTATTCTGTTGAATTTCATTAGCTTTTGTTTTCTGGTCAAATTTCAATACGAATATAAATGTGTCACAATTTAGCAAAAGTATAATAAATTTATTTAATTTACCATAATATTACTAAAAGAATCTTATTTAATTTTTTATTATTTGAAATATTTCCCAATCATCCCAATAAAAAAATCCATCGTGATCTTCAATACCTATCTCATATGTATCAGTTACTGTCTGACCGATTTTTTTGGAACAGTTTATACTTACCCATAAATCAGGTCCAGAACCAAAGCATGGTCCATCCCATGGATGATCAACTAATGCACAATGTTTGGCGTTTTCCTTTATTCGGCTAATCTTTGCATTACTTAAATTTTTCCCATTATCAAATGAAAAAATGAATGCAAAATCGGCTTGATGGCATGATGAGAACCAGCCTCGTTTCCAGCCGTTTTTCAAAGGATTGTATCCGCCGAAAATTTTCTCATTTGATTTTATGAGTATTATTGTAGGACCTGCTCTGTCGCATTTTTCGTGAAATGTTTTTTCGGATAGACTTTCAGAGCTTGCGCGATAAATGCACTTGAATGTGTATGAGACGCTTTGTTCGATTTCTGATTTTTTATTAATCCAAGAAGAAATGAGAGCCGCATGTTTTGGCTTTATAATTTTCGAATCGATTCTTAATGGTGGTAATCGTGGTTCCATGATTCTATTAGTAATAGGTATAATGCCAGTGAGTCGAAATTGGGAATATTCCTCTATTAATTTTTCTGTTAGAATTCTTTCATAAGGCCGTACGTATTCGTCAAATTCATCTGGTGATATTTGAAAAAATCGTATAAATGGCAAAAATTTATAAAGTTTTTGTTGCAGTAATTTGAATTTGTCGATGTTTCTATCCGAGATGTTCGTTATATTAACTTGACCCCATTTAATTAAATTTTTCCAAATATCAATTTCTTTTATATTAAGTTCATCGTTTCCAAGTAGTAACAGCAAGCCGTTTTCTTCTAACAAATTAAATTTAGGTGAGTTGAATAGTAATCCAGCATCTCGTTCAATAATTTCCGTGATGCAGTAGTTTCTAAGTTGAAAACATGAGGGACGAGAAACGGTGATATTTAACACATCGATTATCATTGTTTCAATCCATATCGTTTCATGTTCGATTAAATATGTTTGAACCTTTTCTAATAGATCATCAAAGATCATTTCGTCCGATGCAATCAACAGATCTAAACAATCCGATGGATCGTATACGGATAAATCAAATACGTCTGTATTCACGTATCTGTTGTAAACTTTTAAAGTTAATATACAGTCAAAGTTCTATTACAGAGTACATAAGCCGTTTTCGTTATATTTTATAAATTGCTAATTTGATGTTCTTAAATGGCAAATACCTTAAAATTGCCTCAAACACACTTGCAGATATGTTTGGTTTTCGAAAATAGCACTTTTCATCTTTAATAATGGCCCAATTATTTGAAAATGCTGCAGCAAAATAAGCTGATTTTTCTTGTAAAGCAAGTTTATTGGCAACGAAAGTTTGAGTGTCGGCGTAATCATCACCAACTTGGATTATAGCAACATTTGATTTATCAATTATATTTTTCATTTGAGTGTTAATATGATGCTATTTCCTACTTAATAAATTGGAGCAATAAGTTCTTTTGCAGTAGTTCTTACTCGGATATACACTTTGTTCTTCCATATACATGTACTGCAGCAGTTATTTATTTGTACAATGCTTTTCATTACATAATTCGGCTTACTGTTATCGTAAAAGTACCCTTGATATTTTCAATTGTTCGTGGTTAGGCGGTACTTTGCATTGGTGGATTATGAGAAATAAATATCCAACACAATACAGTAAAATAATGGAATTAACCGGGCTGAGGTACTCAATCCAAATGCTCTTGGTAATATTTACTGATGAAATAGATTACTGTAAGAAATGATACTTTGAGCGTTATGAAATGCAGAACGGCGTGGAAGTGTTTTATGAATAGTACATGTACATGTATAAACCTGTTCCTTAATGACATCTGATAACCCATACCATGCCATACTGGTATTCTATATAACCTTTAAAAAATGTACTTATGCATACGTACACAAAATTGTATTACATACTTGACGTTTCATTGCGCATTTGTAGTGGCTAGCGTCGGCAAAATTTCCGAACCACGTGATTATTTTATTGTAAAACCAACGAAAAAAATTCCCTATTATATTTCATAATCTTAACAAATATTTATTAACATTTCATATCTTGCGATTTTGATTGGTTTACTGTAACCATTAAAAGATCGACCTTTTTTTCGCCAACTTTTTTATTTGGCCGATGCAAATTATCTTTGGCTATGCCGGGGCAGTCACGGGATTTTGGACCGGAACCAAATTACGATAAAATAATTAGGATCAAGAATAATGTGTTTTGTTATCGTGAATAGAGTTTAAAATAAATGTTTATAATTACATTATTACTTTAATAAGTTATAAAAGATTTCGAGAATGAGGGTATTAACAATAATAAATTTAATAATAATGCTAAAAAGACAAATTAATTTTTCAAAAAAGAGCTTTTAGAATATATAGATTTTTTTGTTTAATTATGTTAAATATAAAAATTTAAAATTTTTTTAATTATTACATGTACATCAATTGTCGACCATATACAAAAGATTTTTGAGAAACGAGTTTAGAATAATATTCATTAAAAATTACTGAATAAAAGGTCCAAATATTTCGTATTCAGGAAGAAACTTGGTAGCGATAATAATAATTAGTACTGTCACAAGTAGGTTGGAAGTATGTGAATTTGTGCACTGTGACTGTGGGTGGGAGAGGGCAATTAGACTAATTTCACCTGTTGGTCTAAATCCTGTGCTGATATCTACAGATATCGTTCAGTTTGAACGTTTCCAAAGATGAGTGAGTGGGTAATTATGGAGAAAGGTGAAGAGGATTTTCGTTTATTAATTATTTACTATTCTATTCTATTTATTCCTGCACTTTTTCTAGATAAAAGCCTTAAACTCAGATTAATCAAATCATTCAATCAATGATGCATTTTGCCTTTTCTGAACTAAAAAACCTAACCAAACCATCATCTTTCTGATAGAAAGAATCTAACCAACACGTTTAGAATTATAATTCCAATAAAGTGATTTTTACAAGTGTTCTCTTGGAAAAAAGGTAATGCACGCAATTTATTTCTATTTTTTTTTAAAGGCCTGAGAGCCATTCGTTCTATACATTTTGTTAATTTTGTATTATATAAAAAAATACTATTCTAATTCTATCTAATTTCTTTATTATATTAATAGATCAGACAGCGGTAAAGGATTATCAAAGAAAGAGTGACATGATCTATTTACACTAGAGAATGTGAATAATTATGCTAAAGAATGCTGGAAAAATGGGAGAAAAAAAATCATCATAATTATCAACAACATATGCTGAAGAATGCGGAAAATTAAGAGAAAAATTATCATGATCTTTAGTATTGATAATATATACTAGCAAATATGGAAAAATAGTAGTGTAATACAATCTCATGTGCTAAAGAATACTATGATTTAAGGAGAGTAGGTGCAGTTACAAATGTAATACTAGATAATGCTGAAAATTAGAGGGTCAAAAAGTATATGATATTTGATAATTGAAATGATTCTCTTTATAATTTTCAGAATTGCCAATTTTAATGGAATAATTATAATATTTGCCCCTTCTATGAGATTGAGCTCTGTCAAAATCATTGTAATTACTAATTAAGTTTCTTTATTTTATTTAGTCAAAGCTGGAATATATTATTAAATATTAGGAACAGTTACTTATCAATCTTATCTGGATTAATATATTGAAATAGTCAGAAAGGATACTTTTCAATTTGCCAATAATAATTAATTATAGCAATATTATTCCACTATTTGATTCTTCTTTTGAATATATAGAGTTATTAATTATATTATACTGATATATGATGAATCAGTTATCAAGATAATAGTATTATTATAGCTAAAAGATATTTATTTAATCAGATTGAGTGAGATTTATGATAATCAATTTGATTTTATTCTTTTATACATTTATAAACTTGAGATATTCTTGAATTTAAAATGCTATTACTTCAGAATTAATAATATCAGTCTTAATTATTTTATTAAAAATTATTATTTTTGATCTTAATTTGATTAGAATTATATTATCTATTAATAAATTGAGATTAATAATTTATATTTATTCTTGTTTAATAAGAATTAATTAAAATTAATAGTATTATTAAAAATATATTTTTGTAATAATTAAGTAAGTAATAAAATAAAAATTAAGACTTCTTTATTATTTCAGATATTATTTATTATATTATTTTTTTTGTAATAAAAAATTAAAATATTTAAATATTATTTAATTTATATAATTATCAATTAATATTTATTAGTATATTATAAATATTATATAATTAAGATATTAATATATACTTTAGAAAATTTTAATTTTTATAATATTATTTGAGCTATATATTATTAAAGCATTTTTTTATTACTTAATTATATTAATTTTATATTTTATAAATATTTTGTGAATATACAATACATTAAGAAAGTCTTTAGACAACTTCACATGATAATAACTTCATAATAAATAAATCAAATCACATGTATTATAACTTGTTAGAAAGTCAAAAAGCACAAAATTTATTTTATTAAATTTAATATGAGATATGATCATCATTTTTTTCAATTACAAGCTTATAATATTCATTCATTGATTTTGCTAAATTCACCAAAATACTATCAGGAATTTTTTCCCATTTCTTCACCATATACTACTTTAATTCACTCAAATTTTTTGGCTACCATTTCTTAACATTATTTTTGATAATGCCTCACAAATTTTCTATAGGATTTAAATTGGGGCTGTTCGAGAGCCAAGCTATGACTTTGGAGACTTTATTTTTTAAGAATTCTTTTATCACATGACTTGTATGCTTGAGATCATTATCCTGTTGAAATATCTAATAATTCCCAAGCATTTTTTTGATTACAGAGATCTGTTTTTCCAAAATTCTCATATAAAATGGACCAGTCATTATGATCTCAAAACAAAAAATATTTGTTTTATCTTTCTCTCAAAACCTATCCCAAGTGAAGACTTTTTTCTTATCATTTGAAACTTGTTGAATTGGCCAATTATTTTTATACCAATATTTCACAATATTTCTGAACAACTGGAAGGCTATTTCATTAGTAAATATCATCTGGCTCTAATTGTGATTAAGATATTTCTGCGTCCATTCCACACGCTTTTGCATATGTACTTCCATGAGTATTAGTATAGTCTCAGCATAATTTTTTTTATAGCTGAGCTGGATTAAATGATTCTAAATAGTGACATGAGATATTTGAATTCCTTTTTTTAGTAATATTATGCTTAAAACTTTTGTTGAAATCAAAGGATCCTTCTTTATTTATTTGATTAATAGTTTTGAAAATTTCAAGAAGATTTTTAAAGAGTGGCCATTATGCTTTCAGTGAGTTATACTTCTATTTTTTTTAGCTTGGTAAGGTTATAGTATATCATGAATCTCAGCAGATCTGTATTTTTGCATATTTCTTTGGTATTTTGTATCTCTTTATCTCATTATTGCTGAATTACCTTTGTATACACATCATTATAGGTGTTCATTTTGCTCAATTATTTAAAAAAAATATGGTAACTCAAAACATTGTATTACAAAAACAAATCAAATTATCTTACTAACCAATAAAATTTATTTTAGTTGATGAAATTCTAACATAAAATAGAAAAGTTACATAGATCAACTTTGTAATACAAAAATTTGTCCAAAGACTTTCTTAACGCACTGTATGTAC